AAATGACTTTATTTGTGTGCTTTAGTTAAGCCCATGTGATTGGGACTTAGGGCAGCCTAGTTAGATACTTTGCTTTATATTTGGGTTTGTTTGAGGCATATAAATAGCCTCCTTAAGATGTAAAATGGGTTAGTTGGGATTTTATCAAAATTGGTGGCTGTTTTGCCTTCCTTTGATTGAGGAGCTTGTCTCCTTCAATTTTTGCAACAAGAATTGACTACTTATCAAGATTTCATCTTGTGGTGTTTTCTTTCTTGTTTAAGTCTGACCTATAATCCACATTCTCAATCCTTGTTGTTTGGGGGTTTGGTAGGGTTACATCAAGAATCAAGGTAGACTTATCAATTCGTTGTGGCGTTTATCTTGTTCTTCTACTCAATTATTGGTGTTTCTGTTTCCTTATAAATGTGGGGTGCCATAGAGGGGAATTCATCTTGATCTTTGATCCGATCCACTCGATTAGGGGTTCTAGGAATTCTTTGATCCGATCCACTCGATTAGGGGTTCTAGGAATTCATTTCCTTTGGGTTCCGCATCATTTGGTATCAAAGCCAAATCAAAGATTAAGGTAAGTTCTATTATCTTAATTTTAGGGTTTTGAGTTTTCTTGTCTTTTGAATTTCCTTTGGTGTTTCTTTTAGCTTTTGATTTCATTCTAAATCTGAATTTTCATCTTTGAATCTCTTGTTTGTCTTCTTGACCAAAAAAAAAAAAAGGAAATTTGGAAATTTTTGACTTTAGTACTCCCTAAACAGAAAAAAAAATTAATTGTTACAATTATTGAGAATTTATAAGTTATTAAACACCTTTGATTGAGGTTGTTTAGAACTCATTTTATACATTTGTCCCTTGTTAAAGACTATACCTACCTAAATTGGGGTACAATTGTGGGTTAAGGGAGGATAAAGGACAACATGCCCATGCTTCACAACTAGCACGCCCATGCTAGGCTCTGACTCTCATTTTCGGACCAAACCATACAAGCACGCCAGTGCTAGGTTCTGACCTTTTAAAAAAAAAATTTTTTTTTTTTTTTGGCTTGCTTGCTTTGTTTGGGTAGAATTACATGGTCCATATTTAATTTGCTTTATAGTGAACTAAATTCGTCCATTATAGCCAGAACTAGTTTTTCTTAATTCTAGTTTCAATTATTCTTGTATTGTGCTTCCTTTGCTTCTTTAGCATTGTTGGGGTGTGTTTGCTCGTTCACTACACTCTAATTGATAATCAAGTAGTACATAGTTCTTGTTCTTGTGCTGCCATCCAATTTAATTTGAGTCTTGTTTAGGATACCATCCATTTGGGTCTTTTCCATAGAGTACCATCCATTTTCAATTTTTTTTTTTTTTTTTTTTTTTCATTTTTTTTTTTTTTTTTTTTTGTTCTTGCTTCTAAAATTGTAATTCTATATTTCTTGTTTAGGATATCATTGTGATCTTATAAACTACTAGTTGAGTAAACTTATTTGAGTTGATTGATTCTGAAGTGCAACTTGAAAAAGAAGATAATAGCGGTAAAAGGCAGAGTGTGTAAGATCAAAAGAGGGTAAAAGCCTAATTTTTGAGTGAAACACGAGAGGAGTGACATCTGATTTGAGGGTAAACAAGTAAGGGAGTGTTTGTGAGGCTTTTATTTCTAACCTTTCTTTCTTGCAGCAATTCATAATGTCTAGTTTAGATCATGAAAAGAAGGGACTTACTATAAATGATGTCTTACAAAGCCAAAGCTGGTTCTTCTCATAGAAGATTTAATAGAGGTAAGCGAGTCATGACCAATGAGGAAGAAATAGAAGGTGATAAAGTTGGTGGTGATGGTGGTGAAACTATATTTGAGCTAGAAGAAATGGTTAACATGGCAATGAAGATGGAGAGGCAATTAAAGAACAAAGGGGCAGCAAAGGATATTCAGGTTTTAACAACCAATGGAGTTCAATATTGTTAAAAAAGGAGAAGAATAGTAAAGAAAAAGGCATGGATTCCAAGGGAAAGTGGTCGGATTCCAGCAAGCAAAAAGGTACCTCAACTTTTAACAAAGATTTGAGGACAAATCTTTTTGAGGAAATGGGGAATGATACGGATCAGTCATCGCTCAACCATGGAGCTCAAAGGAGCGTGGAGAACAACTTGGGAAATCTATTGGTGCTTCCTAGTAGGCCAATTACAAGAAGTTAATGTTAGGCTTTTGTAAAGGCCCTATTAAATTACATGGCCTTATTTAAGTTGTTTTGGGCTGATTTTATTATGCATGTAATTGGGCCTAAACTAACTCATTTCTTTTGGGCTGGAAATGACTTTATTTGTGTGCTTTAGTTAAGCCCATGTGACTAGGCCTTAGGGTAGCCTAGTTAGATACTTTTCTTTAGGATTGGATTTGTTTAAGCCATATAAATAGCCTCCTTAAGATGTACAATGGGTTAGTGGGGATTTTATCAAAATTGGTGGCTGTTTTTCTTTCCTTTAATTGAGGAGCTTGTCTCCTTCAATTGTTGCAACAAGAATTTACTACTTATCAAGATTTCATCTTGTGGCATTTTCTTTCTTGTTTAAGTCTGCCCTATAATCCATGTTCTCAATCCTTATTGTTTGGGGGTTTGGTAGGGTTGCATCAAGAATCAAGGTAGACTTATCAATCAGAATCAAAGGTAAGACTTTATCAACTAGTTGTGGCGTTTTATCTGTTCTTTTTTACTCGATACGATTATTGGTGTTTCTGTTTCCTTATAAATGTGGGGTGCCATAGAGGGGAATTCATCTTGATCTTTGATCCGATCCACTCGATTAGGGGTTCTATGAATTCATTTCCTTTGGGTTTCGCATCATTAATGACGTGGAACCCAAAGGAAATGAATTCCTAGAACCCCTAATCAAGTGGATCGGATCAAAGATCAAGATGAATTCCCCTCTATGGCACCCCTCGTTTATAAAAAAACGGAAACACCAATAATCGAGAAAGAGAATTAGATAAATGCCACAATGAATTGATAAGTTTACATAGTTCTTGATGCAATTAGAGGAAAGCAATTTCTCACAATCACTCTAAGCAAAGGAACATGCAAAGCATGAACAATTTCTATAATTCAATTTGATCAAAAGTTGTTGTTTACAAAAAGAACAAGCTATTTATACTAAGATCCTAAACATAAATGGGCTCACTAATGGAACTATGACCCAATAACACAAAAGCCCAAATCTTTTACAAAATAGCTAACCAAATAAAGCATAAAGAATAAAAATGTCCACGTCAGGCCCTAGCATGGCTAGGGCATACTACTTCAAACACCTCCAAGAGTCAAACTCTAGCACGGCCAGGGCGTGCTACTCCAACACCACATGCTTCCAACAATATAAGATGCCTCGGTGTGCCTTCAAGTTCCACACAAAACTTGTTAAAAGCTTGATCATGAAGCTCTTGTGAAACTTGGTCTTAAACATATAAGGACATGGCTACCCCATATCGCTTGGCTCGGCTCCATGTAATTGGCCCACTAGGAAGCACCAATGGATCTCCCATGTTGTTCTCCATGCTTCCATTGATGAGTGGTGGCGAATCCGTATCATTCCCCCTTTTCTCAACAAGATTTGTCCTCAAATCTGCATCCATCTCAAAAGGAGACAAATCACTAACATTAAAAGTAGCGGAAACACCATACTCACTGGTAAGTTTATCTTATAGGCGTTGTCATTAACGCACTCCAAGACTTGGAATGGACCATCTCCACGTGCATCAAGCTTAGTCTTTCGTTGGTTGGGAAACCTCTCCTTCCAAAAGTGTACCCAAACCCAATCTCTAGGCACAAACACTAGCTTCTTCCTTCCTTTGTTCGCTCTGTCAGCATACTGTTTGATCCTCCTTTCTATGTCTATATGAGCTCTAGCCTTAGCATGCATTTCCCTGACTAAGGCGGCCTTCTTCTCACCATCAGAAAACTCCTGCAACAAAGAAACAAACAGAAAACTCCTGCAACAAAGAAACAAAAAACTAGAAGGCAAGGAAGAAAGTTCAATGCTAGGCAAAATTAAGTTAAAAAACTCCTTAAACCTCGAGATCATCAAGACTGGCCTATTCCTCACTAACACTAACTTCGAAATCTCTCTCTCTCTACAATACATACTTTGTTTCTTTCCTTTCGCTCTCTTTGTTTTCACTCACAGATTGGAGCCACTTATTTGTTTTGCGACTTGTTTGTGGCCTCTTCCTTCCCAATCTCACTCTTTAGCACACTCTTTTGTTCTCTTGATCATCGAAGCCTCACTCCGCCATTAATTTGTTTTGCGACTTTTGTGGCCTCTTTCTTCCCAATCTCACTCTTTACACTCTTTTGTTCTCTTGATCTCGAAGCCTCACTCCCTTTTTCCCTCACGACCGAAGCCTCTTTCTCTCTCTCAAGCATCTTCTTTTGATCAGTATAGCCTTCTTGAGGTGACAATGGAGCAAGAACCATCTTTTTACCTTCATATGAAGATTGGGCAATCTCTTCTGGAAACACACCTCCAAATTCATTCTTTTCTTTTTTTTCAATAAGCTGAATTTGCTTTCCTTTTTTTTTTCCCCTCTTCCTTTTTATTTGCACTCTGTTTATTCGCATTCATTTGATGGTGGTGGTGTGCTAATTACATTATATATTTACAAAAAATTATCGAACGACGATTACATTCCATAAGTTTTCTCAATTATATTACCAAATATAGTAATGGAATCTCAATTACATTCCATTACATGATATTTTTCATCGTATTACATCTTTAATTATATTACATTACATCAAATCAAACATAGCCAAAGAGAAAATGTATTAGAGATGAGAAAAGAAATCACTTAAGCAATTCCTAGAATTCTTTGATACCAATTGTTAGGATCCAGTGATATGCAGATCCTAAATAAAGGAATTAAGGAAGAAAAATTGTGTTTGGAGGTAAGAATCAAAGGGAAAAAGTGAGAAAGAGAGGAGGAGAAAAGAAGAGAATATAAGAGAGAGGGACAAAATTATAGGGAGAGAAGGAAATATGGAAATTTGTAATATTATTCACAACTTCCATTTATCATCTATATACATCATTATTTGTATCTCGATTATAGACTATCACATAAGCATACTTGACAACTAAGCAAATCCATCATACATTCTTGTAATTACAATTAAGTCCCAATTCCTAACATAAAGCAACAATCAAACAGGCAGCAGAACATTATCCATATTCTTGTGCATTGTTCTAATTACATTAGTAACCTGTTCAATTTGGTTGTCGTTTGAACATGCTGAGAGAAGTACTTTGGCAGTTCTTCCATCTGGATGGCATCCAGCATCAATCATCTTTTCGAAAATTTCCAAGCATCTCGTATACAGTTTCTTTCTAGAGTAGGCTCCTAACCTTGAAGTCCAAGTCACCACATCTGGTTTCAAACTTTTGGTATCAAGTGATTGAAAAAGGTCTTCCATCTTGTCGAAAAATCCTGCCCGCCCATATATATTGATAAGGATGTTGTATGTGCTGATATCAGTCTCATAAGGACCCTTTTCCATTACAGTTAAAACTTCTTCCATCTTTTCAAATTGACCTAGTCTGCCATACAGATTCAGCATACTATTGAGTACAAACGTATCTGGCTCAAGCCCAGATTCATGCAACTCATTCACAATTTCTTCGCATTTTGTTACGTTTCCAGCTTTTGAGTAGGCAGATAAAAGTAGCATGTGTGATTTCATTGTTGGGGTAATTCCTAGTCTTTTCATCTCTTCAAATACAGCTTGAGCATCTGTACAAAATACAAATAAATGTAAACAGGGGAAAGAATAAAGTAGGATTGAATATATAGCATTGAAGCCAATATAATGTTGCAGAGGGCAGACATGTGCAAATGCAATCTGGAAATAGGAAAATGATTGCGATAAACTCAATGAATCTGTTTGTTTGATTAGACTCTGACGTGGAATTCCATAATATCAATTTTAAATAACTCCATGACATGGCTACACTATTCTTCAAGAACAAACAATAAGGGAAAACTAATGGTTAATTACAAATTTTGTATGGAACCACTGCCAGAAAGAAATGCTGATATAAAAAGATATTGTCTTCTTGAAAATTAAAGTTATCACAGAATACAGTCATCCAAATTATGAAAAGTTCTAATGTGGACTCGCTAATACAGCTATATAGTCTCATTGTGGTTAACTGATCCCCCTGAAACTCTGAAAAGGAAGTTTTAGGAATTGTTTTGAAATTGCCCAGTAGAACCACTGCAGAAATGCACACGCACAGAGAGATTGGATTAATTTTGCACTTTGATTACAGATAGAACTGCTCAAAATGATGGAACTGCTAATGTGTTGATGTCCCAAAAAGAGGGACATGCGACAGGACTCAAACATTCATTTTTATATGTCAAAAGAAAAGTACTCACCCAATAAAGAAGAGAATAATTTATAAAGATATGAAAAAGAAATAAAGATAAACGAAGAAAAGGAGAGAAAAATACTCCTTTTGAATACAAAAGAGGCATTTTCATGTAACTTTCAAGAAAATGAAACTCCATAGTCCCTTTTTCTCTAAATTTATCTTCAATGAAATTTTATGAAATTTTTAGATTATTGATTTTTTATAGGCTCAATACATAAATTTCCTCCTATATTTTTTCTTGAAAGACCTTACGGCATCCTCAACTTTTATTTTGACCCATTGAACACTTCAACTTATAAAATTATATTGATTAAACAGTTATTGGATAGTTGAAAAATATAAAAACTATTGTTCCAAAAGTTATATTAACCACATAGCAAAACAATATTTTGTATTTAAAAGTCAAAAATCTTAAAAATTGTTATTTTTAGCGTAAAGAAGTGTAAAATTATTACAAAAATTGAAGTTCAAGATGCCACAAAGTCGATTTTAAAGTTTAGGATGCTACAAGGTTTTTTTTTGTCAAAATTTAGGATTAAATTATGTATTTGTCTATTTTTTATAAGGTAATGTTACTTGGCTTTTTTGTTTGAAGATTTAGAATTATTTTTGTTAATCTTTCCAAGTAATCATATGTTCGAAATCATTTTTCGGTTTTTTTTTTTCTTGGAAAGAGGCCCCACTAAAAAAGAGGAAAAATAGACACTAACTGGCAAGTGCACTACAAGATGGCAAACTTGTCCCTAGTTGGCTTAAGCTTTTCTTTCTTTTATGTTTTTTCGTTTTTCCCGCTCCCTGTTGCATTGTTAACTTGTATAGTATTGAGTGATGTTCATGTTATGAGGTGGTTAGTAGGAAAGTCATGTAAATATTTGGTTCAAGGTCTTTACCCTCATGAAGACCAGCTCTTCCATAGGCATCTACCATGATGTTATATGAAGCTCTATCAGGTTCACATCCCATGTGCTGCATGAGTGAAAATATTTCAGCAGCTCCAAATGGAAAGCCTGCACGACTGTTACGAGAAGATAGTCAAGACATTGCATGCATCAGATAATATAAAAGTTCCAAACAATTTCATATGGAAAGCCTGCTTTTTTTAAAAACATATAAAAGTTTATTTCTCAGAGCTTGAAAAAGCCTTGGCTTAGTTTTTTCCCCCCAAAACAGGCAACAGATATTCCAAGTTATATTCCAGTGGAGATATGATCTCCAAAAAGAAAATGACAGTGATCATAGTCATGGTAGTCCGAGGAGTACATTACAGTGGTTTCCTTTAAAGCCACATCAAAAGAGGCCACCAAAGCCAATTTTTGAATGCTTCATGTTTTAAATCGATCAAATTAATAATTTAACAGGCTAATAACAAGAGTGAATCCCCTAAATCTAACAAAATATAAAATGCAGACAAATATAAACAGTTTTCTGCTGTTTCCATGTAGATAGATTCTTTCTAACCATGTGCTCTCCAGAGTTCCTTGTTTGGAAATTAGACAGGCACACTAACATTATAATTTGTATCCTAATTAAGATTACATTGTAGTTAACAAAATATATTATTGTAGAGGTGTAACTGCAGTCAATTTAAATATCTAAGCTCTGTGTTTCAGAAAGGTGGCATGATAGATGGAGATCCATAGAATTAGAATAGAGTGGATGAAATGAAAGAATGCTACAGGTGTTTTATGTGATAGGAAGATATCTAAAAATCTAACAAAGAAAAGTTCTATAAAGCGGAGATGACACCTATGATGTTGTACGGGAGTAAAGTGCATGTTGGATCCCAAATGCCCAAACTATCCACGAGATAAATGTTACAGAAATGTAAAAATTAAGATAGATGTGTGGTTACACAAGATTGGACAACATTAGAAATAACTATGTCCAATAAAAATTGTAGGTAGCACAAGTTCGGGATAACATGAGAGAAGGGCATTTCAGATGGTTTTTCATGTACCAGTCGACCCCTATGTGCTCTGGTTTGTAATTGCAATACATTGATAGTAAGAATATTAAGAGGGGAACAGGTAGACCTAGAACCATAGAGAGGAAAGTTGTCCCAAAAGACTTCTTGAAATTAGTATAGACTTAGTTATGAATAAAGTGGAATGGAAACAAAAAATTCATATAGCTTATCCCAACCAGTTTGGGATTAAGACTTAATTGTTGTTGTTCTTGTTGTTTTTGTTGTTGTACTCGTCTTGTATGTCTAAATATTGTTCGCATACATGAGCAGCTCTAGCATTTTTTTTTTTCACTTTTTAAAAAAAATATTAAGACACCATTTTTTATGATAGTAACCTGTATGCTTCCATGAGTGCATTATAAGCATAAACATCAGGTTCATGGCCATCTTCTTGCAGCTGCTCAAAAATTTCCTCAGCCTTCTCACAAAGTCCCTCCCTTGCAAATGCATTCATCAAAGCAGTGTATGTGCAGATATTTGGTTTACATTTTTGAGTTTTCATTTCATTGAACAACTTCAAGGCCATGTAAGATTGACTTGCCTGCATCATATAAAAGGGATGTTTGCACCTCACATGTCAAAGAGAATATCGATGAAAGTAACTTAAATATTATCCTTGCACATAAAGAACAGTTTACGATGCTCGTGAATGCATGCTTCTGATGTTAAGGTTTGGATGCAGGTTATGCCATTATATCATTTTAGCATTGGCTAGAGCCAAGTTTTCAGGACAAACCTGCTCTAGTCATAGCACAAGTATGACGCCAATATATCACTAATGCCATTGTTGGAACAATTTAAGCAAAATAAGACCTGTGACCTCACCTTTCCATGTAAGTTGATCAACAACGTATAAGTTTCAGTAGATGGCTGGCAGCAATCTCTTTTCATTCTCTGAAAGATCTCTACTGCTCTTTGAGGGTTCCCACTTTTCATTAGCCCATCAATATATGCATTGTATACAATGGCACCTAGTTAAAATAAGGGTCCATGTAAATTTAAATTTCTGATTTCACTCATTGGACATGCAAGTGTATCAATAGTGGAGATACAATGAGCTAGATTGAAAATCTAACATATTTCAATAAAACAAAATCCATGAAAATTCAAAACTTGGACAACACTTTTCAAATTCCAACACTAAAAATAAAAATCAATATCTCAGTGTTGGATAATGAGCCTGATAAGGGAAGGATGAAAAAGTACTTATTTAACCTAGCTTCTATCAGAAACAAAAAAATGAATATTTAATGACTCTGTTACAAACTGGACCAATGTTCCTAAAGACCTCAAGAAAAAAATACCTGTAGAAAATATCATGAAGAGAACTGCAGACATCAGATCAACCAGCTCACACAAGAGAGAGAGAGAGAGAGAGAGAGAGAGAGGGTACGGCTCTCTCCAGACTAACTAATGACCTGTCACATATATGCCATGTGTAGAGACAGTGATTAAATATGTATATGCATATCCCCATCGCAAAAGTTTAGACTAAAGGATTCCTAAATCGAAACTACTTGCAAAGAGATCATATTATGTAATTTAGCTATTATTCGATTTTTAATGGAAACCAGTAGTTGCTAGTTGCCCTTGACTTCAGACAACAATAGCAGATAGCCGAAAGTCAACCTGCAGCACTAGCCTAATTAGACCTTGTCTACCGAATTGCTAGCTCATCACCTGAAGACAATAATCCCATTAAGAACCTACAAAAGAGGAATGATCTTTGCTATTTATGATGGGCAGAGATCTAAATTCACACAATGTATGTTCCCTTTGGCTTCATAGGGTTCTTTTGGTGGTCCTGACTCCTGTCCCTTTGGAGAAGGCATTTCACATGGAAAGACACTAAAGTTGCTCAACTCCCTTAGCAATGGTACACAAATCAGGTAAAAACAAGGAAAGGTAGAGAATAAACTCAAGCACTTCATAAGGATTAAGAACAGATGAAACGTAGGATAAATTTTACTCAAAAAAGTTAGCCGTAGTTGTGATAGGAAGATTGATAAGTATCCTGCATCAGAAGTTCACACTTCAAAGAGATAAACAAAGAGCTTTCTTTTTCAGATTTCAAGAAAAGTATAATAGTAATTGTTGAAAAAAAATATGCAAACGAAATTTTTAAGTAATTATGAATGACGTGAAAACATACTTGGAGGAAGGCCATACTTTCGCATCTCAGCAAAGACAGCTTCAGCTTTCTCAAGTAGTCCAGACATGCAGTATGCTTTTAGAAGAAGTGCGTAAGTGTCTTCAGTAGGAACACATCTGGCTTCAAGAAGTTCAAAATATGCAGATTCTGCCTTCCTGTACAGTGACTTTCGCCCATAGGCATCTATGACCAAATTGAATATCATAACATCTGACTGGAAGGAGCTCCTGTACACTATCCATTGGCATATCTGGAGATTTTCATAGTGTTACACTCCAAGAATAAAAAAGGTGTGACTGCATAATTTGTCTTATTTCAAAATAAGATAATACTTTTTGCGTCACTAAACATAAACTTCTGAATTGATAAACATGTTTCTACATGTCAAAATCTGATCAAATTAAACCCTTCGTACATGTTTCTACTTTTACAACATCTTATTTTTGAATTTCAAGCATGCAACTATAGAAGCCAAATATAGTTCACCAATCCAAGGTATGTTTAGTTTAGTTAATTAAATCAACTAAGCCCTTTAGGAGTTTTAATCAACTTACATTCTTAGGTTGTTTTGTCTGCAAGTGTTTATCATATTCCCATGTGTCAATAAAGATAAGATTCTGAATTTTGATAAACATCAATGAGTTATTTGCATACATTCAAACAATTTAGCATTTGGTCTTCTACTTTGTCATATAAATTTTTTATGGCAGTCATTGTCTTCCTAATGATAATGAACTTCAAGAGACAGCTTCACATAAAAAGCTCATGCACTATGATAAAAGCTAGCTTGATGTCTTAAGCTACAACAAATATGAAGAAAATGAAATAATGTCTGACATTCTTACCAACAAAATTAGATCCCATTGTTTATTCAATCGAAGTTGAACAGCTACATTAATAAGATCATCCCATATGTCATGGCTGGCAGGAAGAGTATCAAGAGCAGCCCAAACACTATTGACATCAACTTCCTTCTGTATAAAGTTGAAAATTTGCTGTGCAGTGGGACTTAGCACTGGAAAAATCCCATCAACAAACCCAGATCCATATTTCCATCCTTGTCCCCTTAAAGAACCACCTGTAAAAGTATGTTCTTCAGATATTTTATTTGGTATAGGCTTTAACAACTTTTGCATAAATAATGCACAAATGGGGACATCACAAAATGGATTATTTTGTATTACATCGTTTCCTTGACAATTTTTTGCGATCAAAGCTTCTCCATCTGCCATGTTTGTCAATATAAAGAGCCTCACGTTTATACTTCTCAACAGTCCTACCACTGGAGCTCTTTGCTAGGCATTTGAAATCACTCTTAAAGCTTCTTGGTTCTATAAATATATAATTCAGTTTGCATACAAAAATCAACCTGCAAAAATTTATTCAAGTCAAAATATAATTGCCCATAGCAATTAGCAACAATTAACAACTCGTTGTAATTTGTAAGTTAAGAGCTCAGATGAAGCAAGTTGTCCTAATATTCATCAATTCAATGTCCTAGAACAAAGAGTATAATACCAAATTGATAAGAAAAGCATCCAAAAAGAACAAAAATGGTAAGCCAGAAAGCAAATACGAGAGCAAAAAGGCAGAGAAATTGCAAAAAGGATACGTAATGTAAATTAATATATTAGGAACAGACTCACATGAACGGATGAGAGAATATAGAGCGGGTATGTGTTCAATGTTGAAACTGCAGAGAACAGAACAATCGAAAGGCTACTTTGAGATAATGTATCCATGGCCGTGGGTGATGAAGACAGAAGCAGACAGCTTCTGAGTCCGGACAAAAACTTACCTTCTCTTTTATCAATGCAAGAAATATCTTCAAAATATCTCGAATGAAATTGATAATCTGGAAAGGAATTTGGCTAAATTTGCTCTTGAATTTGGAAGCTTCGTACAAAAATCATCTGTTTGCAGGATTTATCCCTGAATTTGCATTAAAATAATTTTTTAATATTTTTAATTCATACAAATTACTTCAAAGTTTCAATTTAGAAAAGAAAAAATTATTTAAATAAATACAATAATTATAAAAAATTATAAGATGATCAGTGAAAAAATCTAATATTATATTTTATAATTTTAATTGTATTATGTAATTCTTTACGTTTATTAAACTATCAGAGAAAGCTACTATAGTTCTAAGTCTGGCATATATCAATGTTTGTAATTTTTACTATTATTAATGAATTATATTTCAAAAAAATTATAAAATCATAAGATAATATTTGATTATAAAATCATAAGATAATATTTGATTATTTTGAACTAGGTGAAAATTCACGCATTGCGCAAATAATTTTATTAATATATTTTATAATTTGTAATTTATAATTTATTAATTGTATTTAATTCATATTATTTCACAATTTACATGCCATTTCTTAAAATATAAATCATAGACACCAAAATTTTATTAAGTTAATTTAATTATTAACTTAATTATTTAATTAATCAATTAAATTATTGGTTAGTTAAATTAAATAATTTATTTTAATAACCAATCAAAATATTTAAATGGTTATTAAAATAAAATTATTTGATAAATATTAAATTAAATAATTTATTTTAATAACCAATCAAAATATTTAAATGGTTATTAAAATAAAATTATTTGATAAATATTATTCATTGTATAAATAAATAATGTTGTAAAGGTCCAATAAAAATTAGTCAAGTAAACCAATTAAATTAAATCTTGATGAATAAGTCAAACGTCTACAAAAGATAAGTGACACCGCAACAGCCAATGAAAGCTTACCAAGTGAACCAATCAAATTACATATTTGGTAAGGAGACTCTTTCTATATAAATATGAGGTCTCTTTTCACTATGGGACATAAACACATGCGGAGAGAAAGACATAAAAGAAGCCTTAAAGTTTTGTCAAACTCAAGACTACAAAAAGTCTCTTCCAAGTCTAAAGAATTAAAGTTCTTTTAACTTCAATTCAAGATCAAATCTATTTAACCCTTGAATTGTGCCCAAAGTTCGTTCTACATCAAATTTAACATCGAGTCTCTTCGACTCTTGAATTTTTCAAAATTTGTTCTATATCAATTCAACTTTAAGTTTTTTCAACCGTTGAATTATATTCAACATCAAGTCATTTCGATCCTTGAATCGTATTCGCTACAATAAAAAAAAAAAAAAAAAAAAAAAAAAAAAAAGAATCACAGGATAAACTTTTTTGTAATAGGAGATTTCATATAAGAGATTGTATCCATTTATTTATCATAAATACGATTTGAAATTTTGTAATTTGTTTCTTAATTTTTAAGAAAAAATTTTACACACACACCCACATTTTGAATAATCCAAAATTTAATTCTATTCAAATGGATGTTTTACCATATATCTTAATTACCACATAATGAAGATACACACAAGAGAATTATGATAAATTAAATTTATGAACAAATTTGTTTAAGCGTTTTGAAGTCGATGTGTTTTAACAGTATATATTTGGCTTAATATATAAATATATAAATAGATATGTAGTTTTATAAAAAAAAACAAAGATATAGCTTTAATAAATTATTAGGCGGAAGCCGCACGTTAAGCAGATTGTTTTATTACTTTATTATCATGTATTATAATAGAAGTTATTTTTCTGTTGTACATATAAGATAAATATTTATATAAAAAATAAAGGGTAGCGTTATTTCTAGATCGCATTTTGTTAATACCAGAGCAATGAATTTTTTTAATATTAAACTGACTATATTACCCTTTCTAACTTAGAAATTTATCATTAAAACAAGAAGTATAAAAATTTATTTATTGTCATAAATTGAAGACCCATCTTGATGCCAATTTTGCAATATTTGAGTAACTCTGTGTAACGCCCCAAAATTTTCGAATCTTAAAATAATATTATTTTATCGGGTCATGAATGGTGCTACAGAAAGGGGGATAATATTTTATTTAGGGGATATTTTTATTTAGATCCTGAGAGATATTGAGTATGATTAAACTTATTGGGGGGGAATTGGGTAGTGCATTACCGTCTTATGAATAGACATCGTTGTGAATAAGTCCACCGTCTGTGAATAGTACTACCGGTCGGGAGTCGGTATTATTTTTGGTCCGGAAAAATTACTATATATGTTTTATATTTTCTTTAATTATTTTGGAGTATGTATGCATGATTTATGGTAGAAAGTAATAATGAATATTTTTTTGAGATTTAAGGATTAATTAGTGAATAGTGAAAATATGATGCTTTATTAATTAAGAAATTTGAGGATAATTTTTATGAGTAATTTGAGGAAAATTTGTAGAGAATAAATAATATTGTGGAAGGAATTGAATTGGAGAATATTTTTTAGCCATTAGTATTGAGTTAATCTTAGCCATCCAATTATTGGGGAAAAGACCAAATTTGATCACTTTATAGAGGTCAACTTCAATTATTTGAGCAACCACTTTTTCTCTTCTTCTTCTTCTCTTCACGCCAACTTCCTCTTCTTCTTCTCTTCTTTGTTTTTCTTCACTTTTCTTACTTGTTAATCCACCAAATTAACCCACCAACTTGATTTAGTAATTAATCTTAGAGGAATTAAGCTTGAAGAAGTTGATTTGTGGTGATTATTTTCAAGAAAACTTTGGAGATTCTTCTACCTAAGCAAAGGTTGGGAACCTCTACCATGGTAGTAAGGCAAAGTTAGAGAATTAGAAAGCTTTTAATTTAAGCTTGCTAAAGCTTATTTTTAAGGTTAGTGTTCATAAAAACACCCACTTACCTTACTTTTGAATTTTTGATTTTGTTTATTTTATGCTATCAACATTGTATTTTGGGATTTTGTTTGAAAATGATTGGATTTGTTTGAACTTTGGTTGCATAACATGCTCTTGGGGTGTTTGATGAGTATTTTAGTATTGTGGTAATCTCTACCCTTGTATCTTGTTGTTCATGTTTTTTTCATTGGTTAAAGAAGCTGAATTTTGGAAAAGTGTTATTGGGTGAGATTAAGACTATTTTCGACCATTTCTATTTTCCATTTGCTGTCTGTTTCTGGCTTCTTCATGAAAGTTGTAGCTCTATTTCTCAGCTTTCCAAAACATATTCTTATGTCTAATTCCACTACTTGTAGCTCAACTTATGATTTAAATAACAAAACTGGTTCTGTTATGGTGTCTTACCTGTATATCCGAAATCATTGTCCATTTTGACCACTCAAATGGCAAAATAACGTCTTATGTTCTTCATAAAAGTTGTATCTTTACTTATTATCTTTCCAACCCATCCTCTTGTATCGAATTTGGAGATACATAGCTCAACTTATGGCTGAAACACCCAATCTGACTCTGTTGTGATGGGCTACATGCATCACTAAATTGAGTGCCCATTTTGACCACTATAATGACAAGATTAGGCTCTGAGTTATCATAAAAGTTGTTTCCCTGTGTCTTGAGACTTCTCTCGTTCTGGATTGGTTTCATTTGAGTGTTTGGTTAAGTAGGAATTCAAGAAACATTGGACTTTAAAAGACAAAAAAATTACTCGCTACACTTGTGAATACTCAATTACTTCTAATTCATAATCTTATTTAATGATTTGTATGTTAAGTTAAGACGGTGTCTCCCGAATGTGGATCCGTCGTCGGTGTCTCACGGGATTGGGCGGAGGGTGTTACACTCTGCCTTTTCCTTTCTTCTACTACATTGAATGGTTCACAACCCAAAACAAATCGATAATTTACTTCATTAATATAAAAGGGTCTCCATTACACTATGAACTGAGTTCTCATTTCTGATCACAAAAAGCCAATTGCTTACCCTTCTTGTTCTTGACGAGAAGTTAAGAATCACCAAAAGGGCATGTAAATAAATGATTTTCAATGTCATTTTTTTTTTTTTTTTTTTTTTTTGTAAATACTTGTGTAAAGGATCTAAAAAAAGTGTAAATAAAAAAGTGTTAAAATATAAAAAATTCAACAAAAATGGGATAAAATTCATGGATAACCTTTTGGGTTCATTGCAAGATATTCCCTCAATTATGGAAAATCCTTCAATACAAATTTTCTAACTATTCATTTCACCTTTTCCTACTTCTTTATCAAACACAAGGAAGAAAATATAGTATTGGCTTTTAATGGCAGATCTATGAAAAATTTGAGCTTTTAACCATTTACAGTTTCTCAGTGTAATTAATTGCCTTAATCATGGATTGATTAGTTTTATTGATTTAAGAGAGAAATAGAAAGTCTTGAGTTCAAGACTTAGGAGTTTTATGGGTTAACCGTAATATTTAACTAGAAGGGTAATATAGTCAGTTTAATATTAAAAAATTAGTTGCTCTATTATTAACAAAAGACACTCTGAAAATAATGCTACCCAAAATAAATCATACAACTTCAAAGAAATAAAAGAAACAAATAAAAATATTATAAAAGATATACATATAAACTAAAATAGAGTAAATATATAATACATAGATATATTCAGAATTTCTGCAAATAAGCATAAAGGCAATAGTAAATATATATAGATATAAAAAAATAAAATTATTATAAATAAATGGGACAAAAATTAAACAGTCGAATCTAAAACAAAAAGAAAATCAGATATCGATAGAGATAATTATTTTAAATAATTACTAAATTTTAAACTTAAAAAAATATTCTAAGTAATCTAATAAAAAGTTTTAAAATATAATCATTATATATAATTTTGTAATATTTAGATAATAAAATTAAAATTTAAATGATAAGTGTTTACATATAATAATAAAATATATTAAATAAATAATATTAAATTCCTAAATAAACTCAAATTAACAAGTAATATAAGAATCATAATCCTTATCCTAACACAACCAAATCCAGTATATATACTCTAAATTTAACCCAAGTACGAGTTACTTCACAATTTACTATACC